CATTCTCTGCAGGGTTAGTCATGTAGTTAGGCAGTGTGAACACTGAACACTGTGAAGTATATTTGAGAGAAGAATATAGTTTAAAGTTTAAACCAATTTAGTACCTTTCAGAGAGGAAGGCTAAGTGGCAAAAATAACCTATACCGCATTCTTTGGAGGCCAAGCGCCTTCGGACCAAAATGGCTGGCGGCAGCAGCGAAAACAAGTGAAAAAAGGTTTCGCTGGTGGTCCAGCTTTTGCAAAGCTTGGCAAGGAGTTCTACTCTGCCTTGGCAAAAGGAGGCTCGGGCGTAGTGATGGATTTAAAAAAAAATAAATAAAAAAAATTGATGATGACAGATTGTTTCGTCGGACTTGCACCGACTCATCAGGAGGCTGAACCCTCGACAATCTGCGGAATGCCCGTACTGATGCTTTGGGTCATGAACGGTTTGCCCCTTGTTAACGGTAGACCACCGACAGGCAACATCACAAGCGGAACACAGCAGCAGGCAACGACTCGGCGAAGCATCAGGCAACGACTCAGCGAAGCATCAGGCAACACTGCCAGAGCATTCCAACCGCACAACACCGAAGCTAAGTCCACGGAATGACAGTGCAAGCGGACGGGTAGCGAGGCAACAAGTCAGAGAAGCACAAAGCAGCGCTGCAAAGCGGCCAAACTACATGGCACAAAAGTGAAGTGGAAGGGAACACAAGGCATGCGGATGGGCAGAAAGGCAACAGCGCAGTGAAGCACACGGCAGGGAAGCAAGTGGGATGGGCAGCAAGGCAGCGGTGGAGCATGGACAAGGTCTTCCATACATCCAACACCAACCAAAGCAGTATATCACCTACTCACACCACAACAGAACTCCTCAGACTGTTGGTTCCCACACCGGCCATCGAGTTGGGGAGTCGCTCCGACTAACATCCGTCATCACCCGCAGGAAACAGAGACATCCTGAGCTGCACCGTCGGCGGTAGGTGCCGATACTCCTTAACCACAATACTCTTTCTGGACGACTTAACAGTGTTAATCAGGGCATCAGAATCATCCTTTGAAGCGCTGACCAGAGCAATGCACGCCTTTCAACTGGCAAATCAGAGATGAGGATCAATTGGCCAAATACAGTAGGATGGTGGCTGGCGGAGGATGAGGTAGAAGGCCCAGGAGCACCAGCAGGTACGGAAGGATTGCAGTGGTTGGACCCGACTGAGCCATCGAGATACCTTGGGGTCAAAATGACAGAGACGGGCCCACATCATCGATGGCGCCCGAACTACTAGCAAAGATGCTAGCCAAATTGGGCTCCTGGTCGGCAATCTATACTTCACTATACGGCAGGGCACTGGTACTCAACGCCTCAATCTTCTCCATGCTCTGGTATACAGGAGCGATATGGAGCCCCATACCGAGCGCAGGTTCGACACTGAGAAGAAAGGCAGCAACTTACCTGTGGGCAGCTAATCCTTCCAATCAACGGGTCATCTCAAAGGTAGCATGGAAGCATGTAATGAAGAGCAAGGGGAAGGGGGGCTTAGGTATAATGGACCCAGAAAGGCAAATTCAGCACTACGGACCAAATGCGTGATCAAACTGATCACAAATCACAGATTACCTTGGACGTCCTTGGCCCTAGCAAGTATAAGTAGAATAGCTAAGTACAGAACTCCACACAATATGACAGGACTCTTCTGGTTCACCTGTAAAGGTTGGGCGAAGACAGGGAAAGGAGGTAATAGGAGAGACCAGAATGCCGAGGGAGAGGGAGGGGGAAACTTCTGGCGCCACTTGTTCGAGTTATGGAGTGACATTTTTCCAGCTAAGGTCCACGAGCCAAGAACAAGAGAAGAAGTCCTATGCCAGCCACTGTTTGGAAACCAATGACTGAAGGATGTGCGAGGGAGACCAAGAACTTTATCAGCCCAAGACTCGAGACGGGGGACATGGTTGGAGCCACGGAGTGTGGCAGATAAAAAGCACTTATGGTCAGAAGAGGGAAACAGTGGAAAACCGCAAGGGAGCTAAGGAAGGACCTCAAAAGCAGTCACAAGCTATTGGCGAACCTCAACGACTTACCGATATGAATCCCCTAGGAATCGAGGAGATTGCCGGAGAAGGGGCCCCAATGGGAGTATGGGGACTGGGGGACTTGGCAACAAGATGACGAACCCAAGGTAGAGTCCACGGTAGGGAGGGTGGTCAACAAGACTGGTTGAATACCGACATGTACCAGATGGAAGAACCAGGAGCCACAACGAGCAGACTCAACAAGGACTCAAAAACTCCTTCAATCCAATATATTATGATGGAAGTTAGACCGAGGATTTCAAGATCGACTGCCCCACAACCAGGTTGGAAGACCCGGAGCTAGATCCAGCGGAATGGGCGTGGAACCTGAGACGAGGAAGAGTAAATGTAGCAGCACTCAGAACGAACATACTCCACTACAAAACAAAGTTGGGATACAAGCGTAGAACACAAGCCCACCCACTAGAGGGCTCAGTAATAAAAAGCGCTGGGAGGATAAAGTTGGGATACCACTGGCACGACTCAACCCCCTCCCCTGGTCAGGGCTGAATAGCATCAGGCTTCGGAGGGTGAGCAAGCATGCAGTGGCTAATCATCCACCTGGCACTCCCGACCAACTACCTTCTTCCCCCCCCCGAATACAACGTACGGTCATTAATTATAGCTGTGTTTCGACTGAAAGATGCCCCAAATTCACCTATAATGACCGTACGTTCTATTCGGGGGAAGACTGTAGCGACTAAACAAAAGAAGGAATAAAGAAAACAGAAGTCCCCAAAATGAAATGTGTGTGCCATGCCAGGAGGAACAGAAGGAGTCGGTAAAGCATTGCTTGCTGGCCTGTGGACTGCGTTAATGCCCAGCGAATATGGAGGATCGCAAAGGAGTGTGGGCCAAAATCACGGACCTCACCTTTCCGGAGGATACGGCGACCTTACTCCTGGGAATCGACACGCCAAGGAACTGGGAAGGGGGTATGAAAGGACTTTTAACCTGCTGAGACAGTACAGACGTGGACAATACGGAAGAGGAGATGCCAGCGAACCATAGAAAGGAGACAAATGCACATACAGGAGGCACGCAAAATCCGAATTAACTTGATGGAAACTGACATTCAAGCTCAACGGAAAAAGACAAGGAAGAAGATGGCCAGGCAACCCCATGGGAGCAAAAGAAATAAAAGTCAGGTCTGAACAAGGAACCTTGTGGACCCAGACCGCCAGCAGGCAACATCACAAGCTGAACACAGCAGTAGGCAAGGACCCAGGCAATGCTGCCGGGGCAACCCAACTGCACAATATGAAAGCTAACCACGTGGAACGACATCGCAAGCGGACGGCCAGCGAGGCAACAAGACAGCGAAGCACAAAGCAGTGCTGCAAAGCAGCCAAACTACATGGCACAAAAGTGAAGTGGAAGAGAACACAAGGCACGTGGATGCGCAGTGAAGCACACAGCAGGGAAGGAAGCGGGATGGGCAGGAAGGCAGCGGTGAAGCATAGACAAGGCCTTCCATACATCCAACACCAACCAAAGCAGTACATCACCTACTCACACCACAACTGAACCCCGCAGACTGTTGGTTCCCACACCGACCATTGAGCCGGGGAGTCACTCCGATTAACATCCATCATCAGCTGCAGGAAACACAGACATCCCGAGCTGAGCAGTCCCCCTAATAGTGCTGCAGGCACTCCAAATGAGGACTGGCCGACTTTTTGGCACTGCTTAGCGGTCATCAATGAGAGAAACACAAACTACTTAGCGATAAAGACATACAGTGAAAGTCGAAAGAAAGGCGTGTGTGTGTGTGTGTGTGTGTGTGTGTGTGTGTGTGTGTGTGTGTGTGTGTGTGTGTGTGTGTGTGTGTGCGTGTGTGTGTGTTTCTTGAATCTACACCGCAACAGCCCCAATTCCACTCAGATGAACAGAGTGTGTGCATCTGGTGTGGGCATGTGGTGTGGGTACGCACTATGTTGGCGGTCCACGCGCTGTGTTTGTATGTCGGTGGCCACACGGGTAGACGTTTTGCCTCCACCGGGCAGCGTGAAGAAAAGAAAACTGACGTGACCTCCTCCACCCACTGTCGCTGCCACCGTGAGGTGTTAAAGAAAACATTGTGACTGGAACAGTCCCGAAAAAAGACCTGCAAAGGCTGCAATACACTTAGAACGACAGAACAACTGATATATAGCTGCACTACGTGGGTTCCCCAGGAGGGCTTCACTGCTTAAACCTTGGCTTAGGGGGGGGCATTAGAAACTGTCCGTGAAATCTAGAGTATGTACACTTAGCAACGGAAAAACTTGGGAACCTGGGGCTGGTGTGGGGGACAACTGTGTGGTCTACCTATAGGGCCTGTGGTATTAACTTGTCTACACCTAGCATCTGAAGTACCCGTTCGATGTGGCTTGTCCGACTATGCTTCCACCATGGGCTGAGTGGGGTTCCTGCTTAGCCCTGGTGCCTACAGCTACGGTCTCACCCCGCTACCGCAAGCGGCTAAGGAGCTGGGTGGTTGGCTGACGGTCCTTGCATTGATGCAGGACTTGGAGCAAGGGGTGCGCCGGGGAGAATTGTCGAGAGGAAAGGGAGGGTGGTGGTCTCATACGGTGGACCCCCCCCCCCCCCCCCTCCCAAAAAAATTGTGACTGGAGCACCGCCGCTTTCAGCCTGGCAGGGCCATGTGGCGGCATGAGGTAAGAAACACATGCAACCCACGATGCCGCCACCGCACAAGGAGGTACCCACAAAGAGGCCGATGGCATACTGACTGGTCCCAGGTAAGGATTAAACTCAGCTCTACGCTTCAACAGTTCATCATTGTACCAACTGAGATGGCCCGTTGGTGACTGACACCATTTTGGTGTGTAACTTCTTCCGGCTTTTTCTTTTTTGTTCAAAGAAAGGGTCACGACCCTCGACATATCATCGTCTCCCGAAAAAGAGATATCATCGGACTGGCAGGTCTTCACAGAAAGTGGACTCAAACCGTGCCACGTTTACTTTTCAAGAGTTCATGGGTATGCACGGTGATGATTCTTTTTTTAATGTGTTTTCACCTGCTGTGTTAACTTTTCTGCTTCGTATTTCCGCCAGAGAATAAGGCCACGCTTGCTCGGTAGCAAAACTCAACCGCAGACGTCCAGATCGCCCACAAAGAAAGGAGAAGAAAAAACGAGTACATGGCGCTTACGCGAGCACTAGCATTCAGTTAAAAAGGAGCTCTGCCGCGTTCTGGACCGTCCAGATGTACATCGAAAGGCCAAGAAACCGAGTTAACCAAGAAATCGGCACGGAGCATACCCCCGCGGCCCACTTAGGTATAGTGTTGATATCACAATCTCCATGTATTCACAGTTTCCTCTCTATAATTAACTACCTCCTCCTCCTCCTCTCTAGACAGCATCCTTCTCGACTTGCCCTTGGCAGGGATGACAGCAACCTTCTTCGGCCTGAAAGGTTTTGCCACTCCATTCCGTCTAACTGCCGCTCTCTGGTCCAGAAAGTTCTGCTGGCACCCGAGCCATCTCTCTGTTATAGGCATGTTCACGGAACTTAGCCAATTCTTCATGGAGGATGCGCCGGCCACCAACACACTGTCATCTTCTCTAGACTGACTGAACGGCGAGTTCAAGGCCGTCAAGACTTCCATCACCGACTTCCTCACAGCCCCCTTTCCTAACCCCCCCCTTCCATTTGACAGCGGGAAGCAGGGCCTTTGCTGATTCCAACCCTGCTGCTGCTGCTCGGGGATCTCCATATGATTAATCCTCGCAGGTGATCCCCCCTTCGTGCTAATCTCCTCCTTCCCCCCCTCTCCTGCGAGAATGCTCACTCCCGACCAAGACGGCACATTTCCCACTTTAGGAAATTTCTGTTCCCGCCTCTCTACGCCCGTCAAGGAGGACGGTGAAGATACCCTGCCGCTTCCTTCCAGGCCAACCCAAACACTACCTCCCTCACGAGCACCACCGTCTCCATCGTCATCATCACCCTGCTTCCCCACCGGATGGCCGACGATTACTTTTACATCAAGGGGAAGGAGACAAGAACGACCTCGCTCTCCTCCCTCCCGGTCCAACTGCAGTGCTGAATGACTCGTTCGTATGGCAAGCTCTTCCAGCCAATCGAGAAGCACCAGTCGCGCTGCTCCGGCTGACAGTCCCCTGCAATCCAGTGACCAGTTGGCTGCACGCGTGCCCCATTTAATTTTTCCATACGATGGCCATGTCTTCCTTGCTGCCTTGATCACCTCTTGAGCTCTCCCTACCATTCCCCTGTACAATAATGCGTCTACCAACGTGTTGCAAAAAGACGCATTCTCAGTATACGACTCTTCGCGCGCCTGCTTTGCAAACACTCTACCTAACCTGGACCACACATAATCGCTGTCATCACCACCTCCTTCTTCTTTTTCTTCCTTGTCTTCTCCATCTGTGAAGCCGTCCTCGAAATCCCGTTGCTCCAGGCCCTGCGCAGCTCTCCGTTGTTTGCCATCAACATAACCGTCTATTCCGCTACTCCTCATAGGGACACGCAGAGCTAGGCCACCATCTCTTCCCTTCAGACCAGGCACACCCGCTGCCACCATGTGCCCCTCTTCTTCCCTCTCCACATATTTTTCACTCGTCGTGACTGTAAAAGGGAAATGCTCTTCCTCGAGTTCCGGCCAATGATCCGTAGCCTGTGGCATTTGCTGTGCTCGTGAGACGTGGCCCAAGTTCTCTCTGGCCCCCATGACGTTGTCTTCTTTCTCCCGTTTTCTGACCGCCGATCCGTTAGATTGTAAACTGCGTGCTTGTCGTGAGGGGAAGAGTAACATGCAAGCAATGCGGCATTTCTCCCAGCTACTCCTGCGAAGCAGGCGGACCAACCTCCCCACCCATTGCCCACGCCCCTCAGCACATGCGCGAACCAGCGTGTTTGTGAGCGCACAGGTGGGTGGCACACCCTTCTTCTTCATCTGCTGAACCGTTTGGACAACATCTGCATACCTTCCCCCTGCAATGTATAAGTCGATCAATGCAGCATAAGCAGAGGGGGAGAATTCCATTTCCACCTCTCCCCATTCTCCTCCCCTCCCCTCTCCCTTGACCTGCATTGCCACCCACTTCATTTCCTTCAGCATGTCGATGCCTGTCTCTGTCCAGCCCATTGCCGCGCAAGCGCGAGCTGATGCCTCATAGCCGCTGGGCAACACACCGCCAAAGGAGAGCCTCCCTCCTCCTCCTCCTCCTCCCCTGCGGTGTGTATCTCTGTCGAACACCTTCCACGCCTTTCTCGCGTTTCCATTCCTTGTCAAAGCCTGCAGACCATTGCTGTAAGCCGCGGCAACGACCCTCGCCTGCCTCTCCTCCCTGACACTGGATGACGATGATTCACTCTCTCTCACACTACCACCCTTTGTCTCTCTCCTTTGGTTGTTGTCATTCAGCATAATACTCCTCATCTCCCAAAACAACCTCTCTGCCTCACTCTCGTACCCTACCCGCTTTCCGCATGCTTTGATAAGCATTCCATACGCTCTGGCATCCAAGCTGCCTACTACCTCCTTGCCCTCTCGGAAGACACTGAGCCCTTGCTCGACCCTCCCCGCTGCACAATACCCCACGATCATACTCTCATACAACCCCCTCCTCATTCCCAGTGAGCAGCAGTTCTCCATCCCTCTTGCAAACACTGTCTCCATGTCGCCGAGGCGTCCTACAGTGCCATAACCCTCGATCACCGCCTTGTAGCAGCCAACAGGCACGGAACCGAGGAACAGATCTTCCATTCCGTTGAGGACAGCGCATGCATCCTCCACCAGCTTTCGGCGGCAGCAGCTCAGCAGCAGACAACGCAAGTCGGCCAGACTGACACAGGATTCTGACAGACCTCCTGACCTTTGCAGCCGCCGAAAAACCCTAGCAAGTTGCTTGGGATCCCATGAGCTGGGGTCGACATTTGCGAGTCCAGATAAACAACCAGGGCGATTGGGATTGGGATGGTGCTGGCGGCGGGTCAAAGGCACAACTGTTGTCTCCTCGTCCTCGTCTGTCTTTGTCATGGCTGCGACGTCAGCAGCCTGTGCCAATGTGTCAGCCATGGCCGCGGCCTCAGTCACCGCGACATTAGACCAAGGAGCCGGTATCCCATTCAAAGTGCCAACCTGGAAGGAAAACAGTGGCCGCAGAGAGGATAGCAATGGCGATTGCAATCGCGATCGGGACGGTTGTCCCTTGGAAACACCTATGGCCCGCCCATCACACAGACGAACCAGAGAGCCATACTCCTCCAGTCCTTTGATGGTGAGAGAGAGACCTGCTGAAGCAACGTCTGTTGCCCTCTTGCCCGTCACACCCCTCCTCCCCTTTCTCTTCCTCTCCATCCAACTACTACCCCCATGTCGCTCGCTAGCAAACCAAAGTTCCGACCTCTGCTTATCGGTCGATTTCCAAAACGTTGGCAATCCCGTTGCCGAAGGCAAGAGGCTGTTGCCCCGATCTCGCCCACTCCCTCTCAACCGACGATGTAGGAACACATCTCTACTACCATCTTGGGCCTTCGGGCCATAGCACACTCCAGGAAAATGTCCTCCTCTGGCACTCCAGGAGGCGTGAAGAAACCGAAAAATCACCGATTCTCTGAGACAACAGGATGGCAACAGCAAAGCTCGCAAACTTGATCGGTCTTTTCTTCTGGACAGGATCGATGTTGTACCCAACTCTTGGATCAAAGAAGAAGCAGACATCTCTCTCTCTCTCTCTCTCTCTCTCTCTCTCTCTCTCTCTCTCTCTCTCTCTCTCTCTCTCTCTATGAACCTACCTACCTGTTTGTCTCTCTCTTGCTCTCATTGTATGTCTGCGTGCACCTCCACTGGGTGTATACGTAGTTTCGTCCTCATTAAGGAAACAAATGACAACATATAGACGAGGACACATTCTTGATGAAGCGAAAAGTGAAAAGGATGTCCCTGCTCGATCGTATTCACAAGGTAAGATGACGGGTGCTCAAAGCCTTGCACTGCTGGATACTGTCATTTTCGTCATAATCAAGTGTCATGCCCACCCAAGAACTTCTCTCTCTCTCTCTCTCTCTCTCTCTCTCTCTCTCTCTCTCTCTCTCTCTCTCTCTCTCNCTCTCTCTCTCTCTCTCTCTCTCTCTCTCTCTCTCTCTCTCTCTCTCTCTCTCTCTCTCTCTCTCTCTCTCGCTCGCTCGCTCGCTTGCTCGCTCACATGTCTTCCCCTCTTTAGCTTTCCCACCTTCTCTCTTTTCTCACCTCCTCTCTCTCCTCCCTGCGTCTCGTTCTCTTCTCTCTCCGCCTCCTCCTCTCTCTTTTCTCTCCCCCTAAACAACCGCCATCATAACTCCCCTCCACGCACACGACTACTACCACCAAAAAACATCCCACGCACGCAAGCACTCCCGCATGTGAATATAGGTGCACTGGTACCACAACATTCCCTTCTACCCAAGGAACCCAAATCCTGGTATGATAAACCGTGCAGTCACATAGCACTCCTCATATATGGCGAACCATTCACCAACACCATAGCCTGGAGGTTACGCATGGCGCCCCTCTGCGGAAGTCTTCTGGCTTGGCACCTGAGTAACTGTCCATACCCCCACTCACTTGGAATCAAACTTCCTCCTTGCTCAAAGAGAACCTGCGCACAGAATTACAATTACAAACCACATAGGAGCAACATGTGCTCCATCAGCATCTTGTTTCTTCATAGCTGTTTTTCTCCTCGATACACTGGTCGCGGGATCATGCACACCCTCGCCATGCAGCGGTTTGGGCCCTGGCACCCAGAGTCCAACCAGCCAATCACCCTGCAGCGGCCTAAAAAAACGGCTGCACATAAATTCTTTACAGGTAGGCTGATAGATAAATAAGAGTAACGATTTGAGAAAGGGGGGCTATCCATACCCTCTTTTGATTTTTACAAAGTCCGCGGACTATACATCATAAACCTCAAACCACCAGCACTTTTCTAGCCATTCTTCTTCCATACAGCCATGCACGCACTGTGACTTTCAGGGGTCCGCCTACCAAAGTGAAATGGCTGGCATTGCCAGCCCTTGTTCCTTTTTTTCTGGGCACGCAGAGGGAGATCCTCCAAGTACTCGCCGTGGTTAAACTGAGGTGTTCAGTCTGAAAACAAGTGAACTTCAATCAAAAGTGGGCTACTGGGATGCCCAGCAGGGCAGGGGGGGGGGGGGGGGGAAGGGGGTTCCGTGTGGGAGACCCAGGCGTGTTGAGATCTTGCCAAGTGGATTCCAGTAAGTTGAACGGTGGAGATGTGAAGGGCAGGAAAATCATCTATCTAAGATTGATGGGCAGGTGGCGGTCATGCTGTGGAACAATCCACCACAAATCAAAATTTTCTTGTTTGAAATAATCGAAACACATCAAAATGGTTCTGGCAGTACCAAACAATAGAAATATTTTACAAAAACAGGTCAAATTATCTATGAATTAGATTATTATAAAAAAACAGATTAGAAGTGGTTGGCGACGAAAAGAAAAGGCTCCGTCCAGGGTTGGCAAAACCCCTCTCCTCTCCTCCGTCTCAGTATCGATCCAGTAGCCTGGAGCTGGGAATCGGAGTTGGGCCCAGAAAGCAGACTAGACTGCATGTAGCTCGAGGAGTGGAGCTGGAGCTGGCTTCAAGAGAGACAAACGTAGTCAAGCCTCAGTGGCAGATGCGAGATGGGAGGCAATATCAAACGAAGATCTGTCTTCAAAGGAAGAGCAATTCAAAGCTCTGTGGAAAACTCTGTCGTCTCTTCTAAATGGGAAGCAGGTCAGTTTGGTGTGCTTATTCTCTTTAGTTAGCAGTAACTCCGTCAGCTGTCTGGTTACTCAGCAGGGGGATGGAGGTTAATCTGGGATGTGTTTCAGATGCAACAGGCCCTTTGAATCCACTTGCCACCTGTGGTGGGAGTGCCCGCCCAGCATCAAAAAGACTATGGAAATCGCGGCAGCTCCATTGGTTTCAGTTTGCTGATTCAAGATTGAATTAGGAGGAAAGGAAAGGTGGGTGTTGTTGGGCCCGTCAGCTGTCTGGTTACTCAGCAGGGGGACGGAGGTTAATCTGGGATGTGTTTCAGATGCAACAGGCCCTTTGAACCCACTCGCCACCTGTGGTGGGAGCGCCTGCCCAGCGTCAAAAAGAATATGGAAATCGCGGCAGCTCCATTGGTTTCAGTTTTTGATGATTCAAGATTGAGATGGGAGAAAAGGTAGGTTTTGTTGGGCCCGTCAGCTGTCTGGTTACTCAGCAGGGGGATGAAGGTTGGTCTGGGATGCTCCAGATGAACTGGCCCTTTGAATCCACTCGCCACCAGTGGTGGGACTGCCCAGCATCAAAAAAAGAATCAGTAAATGGTGGCAGCTCCATTGATCTCAGTTTGCTGATTCAAGATTGAAATGGGAGGAAAGGTGGGTGGTGGGCGTTGTTGGGGTTCCTACCAGCACACCTCACAGGAAAGAGGGGCTGGGGCTACGATGCTACGTGGCACACGGGTACGGGGGCTGCTGCTGTGCGAGGTGATTTGGCCAGACAGGAACAGGTCAGGTCAGGGTTTCGAAGGAAAAAACGACCTGTGTCTGATGTAGAAATCAAGGCCAGAGGAAGATCAAACAGGGTGTGAAGCACACCATCGGAGTGGGGATTGGGGGATAAGAGTGAAATCCGGCAGAGGGAACAGAAGGCAAACCCGGTGGTTCAGACACACATGGGCCCTAGGTGACCAAGTGGCAGCAGTACGTTCAGAGAAGGGCCTGATACTGGCCTGCTGGATTTTATTATTATTTTTTTTTATTAAACACTCCTAACTTTGTGTTTTAATATGAGCAAACAAAAGGAGGCTGGGAATCCCTCCACATCTCAACCCGGAGTACTGGGGCCAATACCCAGCTTGGGCTTTTACTGGAAACCGGGGCCAGTGTCCCATGCTTCGGGATTTCCCAAAGCTAATGTGAGGATTGAGCCCTCAAGAAGGGGCCTTGCCATGATGTACATGTTCCGGGCTAAGGCCCCAGCAAGCCTCGTGCCCGCCCTAAGTGAAGGCGGGCCAGCAAATCAACAAGCGCCCTCTGTGCAAACATTTCACGAAGTGGGGTCCATGCAGTTGCAGCACGCCAGTTGGTTGGAGTGCACCGAGTCTCGAATCTCTGCGAATGTGGAGATCCCAGGCCCTCTGAGTTAGTTAGGCCCTGGGCACTTGAACGTGAGGCCGACAATGCATGCTGGGTATAGAGGCTGAAAATGCCAAAGGGAAATCGGCCCACTATCTGAATCTGGCCGCAGGCCTTGACGAAAGAGGCGCAACTGCATCACCCGGGCCCCAACTGCATCGGGCCTGGGTTCAGGCACTGGGGCCCAGTCGCAGGCTGAAGGGAGGCCGCCCACACGCAACACTGGCATATAGGCAAGCAGGGCGAGTGGGCAGGGATCTTGGCCATTGCGGGCAATGCCGGCACGCTGCGCTAATGCGAGCTGCTGCGCTAGGATGAGGTGCCAGACAGGCAGGCGCTAGGCGGTAGTGCGCTGCCTGTGCACTGGGCGCTGGCGGCCATAGCCGGGCTGCATAGGGCGCAGGGAAGGTGAGGGCGAGGGTGGTTCTTCTGAGGTGAAGGGCGCTGTGTGGGATAACAAGGGAGAGTGTAGGTGAAGAGAGAGACGTACCTGGTGGAGGTGGGAGGTCGGCATTGGTGTTGACATCATCACTCGCTGGTCGTCAAGTTGTCTGGTTGCTGTCATACTGTAGTTGTAGTGATAGGCTGTAGAGTAGGTAGGGCGCCTGGCGCCATTCAAGAGAGAGAGCTACATTGAGTTATGCTGTTGGTGTTGCCCTGTTGGGCTTGGACATTGGCTCACGATTCTTCTGGATCATTCTCAAATGGATGGTTACTCGGTTCCATTGTGCTATCTTCTCTTGCTTTGACTACTTGGACTTCAGTGTGATTTTGCAATCTGGATTTCTGTGCTTCGTCCATATTCATGTTCCTTGCAATTTGGTATCGAAGCTGGTTTGATTCGCCACTTACCTTGGTTCGCTGGCGTTATACAGACTTGGTGCGTTGACGATGCTTCTTCACAGTTGGTTCTTGTGGCGTCAGGCCATATTAGGCGCACAGCCTGGGTAGAGAGGTGTGCGCCAGAAGGCTAAGACGGCATTATGCCGTGGTGACAGGCGGAATGTATGATTGGTGATGAGAGCATGCTGATGTGGCATTCGGCTGAGGTGGCACTGCATTGCGTTGTGGGTGGTACCGAGGCCAAGACCGGTCATCAAATGCACACTCAGCTCAATTGGTGAGAAATTTGTGGTTGGGGGCAGCTATCTCCAGGTACGTTGTTCCCTTACCTTATCTACTCTCTCAATCTCTTCTTACCGTGAGGAAGTGAGTCCAACTTGAGAGTCCTCTCTTTTGGTGAGGTGTCGTGAGCGCGCTACCTTGAGAGACGACAATCTTCCCGGAAGCATCTGGAAGGAGAACGGGCGGTGCCTCTAAAGGGCCCTGGTCGAAGCACTGGGTCACGGTCACCATGCCAACCCAATGGAAGTAGGTCACGCATGCGATGGCTGCTGTCCATTTTGGCACTTCGCTGCGCTGTAGAAGTCCTGCCGGGTGTGCCGGCCTTTTATGAGACGCTTACCAGACCATCTATAAACATTTCTGGTTGGGAACTCGGATTGAATCTGGCTGAGATCATCGTCCTGACTGCGACGTTAAATATTTCCTGAAGAGATGGGGGCGCTCTTAATATTCCTCCTGATCAGCCAGATCAACCGGGTGTAAGGCTCGTTCCGTACGAGGGTAAACAAGAGTGGACTGGCTGGCTTGCTCGGCAACGACTTGGGCACAGGGGTGGGCCGACATACACACGAAGACACCACTGCTCAATGATGTTGTTCGGTATGTTGGATTGAAGGGAGGGTAGGTTCTAATTGATGCTCAACTGGAAACACAACCATACCCACTATTCATACATCTGCAACATGGTCTTCTTGTATCTTTGATCAGTTGGTGGACAGACTGCTAACACCTCACAGACAGATTAGAGTAGGACTGTTGTATACTACCATAGCCAGTTCTATCTACTGCTGCTGTAAGAGAACCAATCAAGATACATCTAGACTATGTTGACAATCTGTTGTGAATGTTGTAGGTTGCCACTTGATCGGTAAAGTAGGGGACCTCCCGGACACAACTATTTTTAGAAAATTAGGTGCCGGTCAGACACATGCTGCGGTAGGACTCCAACAGGGGGTTGTAGTGCAGATACTGTCTGCCTAACTGATGAGTGGATCAGACACCGATGAGGGTAGAGTTGACAATGTGAGACTTACACGTTCGGGAGCACTTAGGGTCCCGCACGTGTACCAGGCCTTACAACCGGAAGACGAACGACGGATTCGTGCCGAACGCAGAGCCCGTGCGCTAGCAGCAAGGATAGCAGCAGCAAACGCAGCAGCTAGAGAGCAGGCAGCCGCAGCCAGAGCAGTAGCAATGGCTAACGGCACAAGCTCTGCTGCATCATCAGCTGCATCCTCGTCTGCGTCCTCGTCAGGGACCAATGGGACCCTGTAAGGAATGCCTCAGGGTACTTCCCGGGCGGTAAGTTCTAGTCAGTCCACAAGTCAAATGGCG